GTCCATCACTAGTGGAAATCTAGTGAACAGTATGTTACTAATGGCATTTCCCATTGAATGCAAATGATTCAAAAAAGTTGTTTTGAGAATTTTTCTTTCTTGTCTTTGTTAGGCAGCTGGGAGAGGGAAAGAGTTTGAAAAATAAAGGAAATTATATATCACAAGTAACCAGTTGCAATACATGCTCAGGGGCGAACTGATCACCATATTTGGGGTTCGGAAGGAATTTTCCCTCAGGTCATATGTGGGGGGGAGGGTTCACCTTCCTCTGAAACATGGGGTATGGGTCACCCTAGTGTAAATGGTGGATTCTCTGTAACTTGAAATCTTTAAACCATGATTTGAGGACTTAAGTAACTCAGCCAGAGGTTAGGGATCTATTTTAGGAGTGGGTGGGTGAGGTTCTGTGGCCTGCAATGTGCCGGATGTTAGATTAGATGATCACGATGGTCCCTTCTGACTTTAAAGTCTGAGTCTATGAGCAAATGTTTTCTCACTGTGATGACATAAAGATCTTATAGCCTAATTCCACCTTCCCTACCCCCACTTAGAGAATGGGAGGGAGTTTTTATGCCAGTACAGTCTATTTCTATACTATATAGACTGACATTCATTAGTAATTCTCCCTAGTATTTCATAGATCAAAATTGATTTTGTAACAAAAATAGAAAAAGCTATAATGAGTTAACTGATAAACATATTTATTTGTTCAAAAATCATTAAAGTATTGACATGTTGCTATGCCCTAATGCGTTAGACAACTTGCTTTTTGTTTGAGCCAAGTCTTTCAACTCTTGTCTTCTCAAAACTACAAACTTCCCCTGCTCTTTGAACGTCTCACAAACTGTACTTAATAGAAACAGTATCACTGGGAGTAGCTTTAGTCTGATAAAGTCATCCCAATGGTGAATTTTCCATAGGAGTATATGTTACAAATAACAGGATTTTCTGGTCACTTTTTTCCCCCTGCTGATTCCAAGCTTCCTCTTCTGCACAGGAAATATTAGATTTCCAAAGTAGCTGCTGGGCTAAGCTGTTTGGTTCTGCCTCTACTCCTAAACAACGTAAATGCCTGCCAGTGAGCTCTTTTTCTGGAGCTCTGGTCCAAAGCCAGTTTTTTGTTTACATTCAGCCATTTGATCAGGTACAAAAATAGATTTTTTAGATTTTCTTTTAAAATTAGGGTCATAGTGGAGGGTCACTAATTGATTTTACAAGAAAAAAGTCAACTTTTTGGACATCATGAACTTTGCCATATCCATATTAAATGTTTAAATTCATTCTAATGGTGGTATACCATGTGCAGTGGCTCCAGTAAACGTCAGCAGCAGGTCCATGATGAAGTTGACTATTTTTTTAAAAGCTAAATTTTTGCTCTTGTTTTTTTAAAAGATTGGTTAAAAATAACACAAACCAAACAACTTCCACTCCTCACCTGTCAGACTACAAACCCACTGGGTTCCCTTGCATGCTGGCTGACAGAACACGTCACTTTCCTCAAATTCTTATTGAATGGCTTTTGGTATGACATTTTGCAGCATCTGCTACCAGTCAACTGCTGTGAACTCTTTTACACTGATGTTGGTCAGATCAGAGCTGTAAAATAGGAACATGAGGGTGGGAAATCTGAGCAGAGTGGCAACCAGCAGTGAGTGTATTCTGGTAGTGCATTCCACATGGAATGCTGGCAGGGAAAATTCTTGACGTTTTTCAGAAGGTTGGTTGACTAGTCTGTGTCTTGGGGAGGCTGAGATCTCTGCTCTGCAAGGAAATGTGACTTTACAGCACATTTAGTCCCTGATCCTGCAACTGAATCTGCACGGATGGACCATTGCGCCCATCCAGCATCCCACTGACATCAGTAGGGCTTCATGTGGATGTAAGCATCTGCCTATGTGAATTCACAATAACTTCAAACATGATTCAGCTGACAGGTTACTGACAGTGTCCAATGTGTTGTGGCTCACTACCCTGTTTCCCCGAAAATAAGACAGTGTCTTATATTAATTTTTGCTCCCAAAGATGCGCTAGGTCTTATTTTCAGGGGATGTCTTATTTTTCAGAAATGAAAAATGCCTTATTATCGGTGGATGCCTTATTATCGGGGAGGTCTTATTATCGGGGGGATGCCTTATATTACAACGAGAGGCAAAACTGTAAGTAGGCCTTATTTTCAGAGGATGTCTTATTTTCGGGGAAACAGGGTATATCTGCAAAGTATGCCCAGTAGGGGCCCCGATACCCTTCACAATATGAGTTCTCATGTCTTCCACAAGGTCACAGCTACTACATTCACTTCATGAGCTACATCCATTGAGCAGAGCCTGGAGTCCCCTCTGGTCACTATGACTATATCCATCCCATATGATACACTATTGTACGGCTACTATTAATACATACTCTCCATACTATATACACTACAACCGTATCTCCTTCAAAGCACCACACATAACGAAAGTAAACCCACTTCTGATCTACACCACTGTGTAAATTACAAAGAGTTTAATATCCACTTAAATTCAGTATTTCATTCCCAGTCTTCTGGTTTGTAGCAAGTTCTTTGTGAAAGATCCTTCAGGTTAGCTCCTGGGGATCCTGTGCAATGGTCTGCCTCACCGTAATCAAGTCACTTCCCAGAAAATGCAATGTGTTAGCAAGAGAGCTGTATGCAGGTGGAGTCTACTTCTTTTCTTGGGAATCCTGTGCTGCTAGAAACAGCTGATGATATATTTCGGGCCTGATTCCTCTCTCAGTTACACTAATGTAAATCAGAAGAAACTCCACTGAAGTCAGCTGAGTGCAATCTTATACAAGTGGCATAACCGAGAGAAGAATCCGGGCCTTTGTTTCTGGCTTTGGGCTAGTGCCTTTACCATTTTTTATTTTGCTACTATGATTCCCAGAGAAATAAGTATAAAATGAACCTCCAACATACAGTACCAGTTCTTTTACTGATCCTCATTCTGTAACCACAGTTCCTAAGGAAATAAGTCTGAGGTCTACCTCCAGCATGCAATTTTTTAAAACTGCTTCTTATAGCACTATCTCCTAAGGACATAGGGACAATGCATGCATTCATTTCTAGTTAAATACAAGAAGTATGGCGTTAATAAAGAGTAGTCAACTCTATTAAGGGGTATACTAGGGATTAGCTGCCTTTGCTCCAACATAGTACACATTACTTTTTTTTTAAATATAAATACCCCCACCTCCCTTGAAGTCAACATTTCTATCACAATTGTTAAAGTATTTTACATATAAAATGCTGGTGATTTCCAGATGAGCCCATATGTATAGGCATATCTCAATTTAATCTGAAATACTACAACTGACATAGTATAAAATATCCCTAATGCAACAAAAACCTTCACATGACTGTCAATTCTGACATGAGGGAATTAGCATACACTACAACACAGCACATGGAGTTTAGCGTCTTTAAAATTTATATTTAACCATGAAATCAAACAATGCTCAATGTAAACATGTAGTTGATTTTTATAAACTGTGATTAGATGCAAAGTTAGCAAGTTGGAAAACAGCACGATGATACTGAGGGAGGTAGCAGGGGGATTCGAAATACTGAGAAATCACAAAATAATTCCCATTTTATCAATTTAAAAACTGTCATTCTTCTACAAAAATACCATTTCTGTTATTTTCTTAATACGTCACATTCGTAAAAAGGAAATGTGGCATTATTACAGATAACTTGACTTCTTTAAAGTATTCCCAAACCTGATTTCACTTTGAAAATATCTCTGAATGACAAAGTACACAGGGCCAAATCCTGCCCTCTGTTACATTTAGGCAACCCGTTTGAGTTCAGTAGGATTGCATGGATGCAGCTCAGACTAGAGTATGGCCCACATTATAGGTACAGAAGTGACCAGGGAGCAAACACGTTTTCCTTCAATTCTCCTTCCAAACTGTCAGTTGGATAAAAAAAACCTATTTTATTTTGAAAGAAAAAGAGTGAGTCTTTTAGTCACAAAACTCAGCAGTAAGAGGATATAAAGGGTGATGCCAAGAGCCTTTGCCAATAGCCATACCAAAAAAGTCAGAAACTGAAACATGAACTGGGTCATAAGATGAAAGCATTGTATATGCAGTAACATGGGAGAGCTAGAAATACAACTTGTCAGCCCTACACAAAGTATGTTATAATCTTACCTAGGGATTTCATGGAACACATTAATATTATTAATCTGACCTACCGCAAAGGGATACGGTGCATTTTAGTAAGTTAACTTTTGTATAGCACTTTGAGGAGGTAAAACTCTGTATAATGTCAGTGTTATGTATTACATTGTATACTGTACCTTTTTTTGTTAAACTTTAGAGACAGACTCTTCCTGTCTATTTGCTTCATTGAGTGTTATAATTATATGCACATTGCTGTAAAAAGATACATTAATCAATTGCACTTCAATTGAGATAAATGTCATCCTAAAATTTAAACAAACTTTTTTTCTCTGTAAAATATTTATATTTAAGGGACAGTGTAGATTTGTCAGAAAAACGATGCGCTTGAAAACTGAGTTCATGCCGTAGCTAGACCTCTAAGTATCCTGCCATGATGTTGGAAGCTCTTTCAGAGGGTAGAACAGCAGGCTGTTTCCCTGATTGCCAATACCTATTCCAAAAGATGGGGCAGAGGCAGTAACAGGCATTTTGTACAATTTCTTCTGGAATGTGAGCTGGCTGCAGATGAACACTAATATTTAGTCAGAGACATATTTACTGATATTTTTTTCAGCCAAACATCGCAATATACAATAAAACATATGAAGACGGCAAAGCAGTTAGGCACATTCTGAAGAGTGCTTTTATTTTTTCCCCTAACTATAATGGGTGATTGCTTTTCTGCCTAAACAGCTCAAAAGGGCTATGAAAACTAAAGTCCTTAAAAGCTGTTAAATGCTTCTTCAGATTTACAATAAAATTCTGCATTACAAATCTTCTAGTAAAATCTCTGGAGCGTTACAAGCAGTACTTACATAATTTTCCGTTAAGTCAGTGTTTGTGTATTCAACACCTAGAAAATAAGGAAAGTGAATGTGGGTAATGAAAAAAACAATAACCCCCCCCCAAACTCCAATCCCTCCCCCCCCTTAGCCCCCCCCCCAGTACACCTAAGAGGCAGGAGGGAAAAAAAAACCCAAACAAAACCCCTCAAACAGCCATGCAGCTATTAAACATATGCCAAAGTAAACAATAGTGTTAGGGTCTGCCATAGCTTTGCCCTGCAGGTAGACGGCAGGCAGCACAGAAGGAAAGCAAATGGAAAGGAAAAGAGAAAGACAGTACAGGATGTGGATGAGATGCCGAGCCCTGAGAGCATGAACGGCCTGATTGTGATACTCAAGTCACACCATCAGCCATGCAAAACAGGACATACCTTTCTGGCTTGCTGGTTCTGTCGGCTGAAACAAAGCAGTCCCATTCTCAGCGGGAGGCCAAATCAAAATGAAATTTTATTTAGTCTGCACTGTCCCCAGATTGGGTTTCAGAATGACTGCTTTAGGAGATAGCATGGATGTGGCTGATGCATGCTTTGCATATGAAACTGCAGTAGAAAAAAAAATCTACATAATCAAAAAAATCTGTGCTGTGTGTATGGCAAAAAACCCTGGACGTTAGTGATTCAGTGACAATGGAGGTTTTCAGAAATGACCTTTCTGAATAAAATACACTTTTCTTTCCAAAACAATATTTTCAATAAATACATAATAGGTCATTTTATATATAATTATTCAGAATCTGCTTTGAGTGATTGAAACACGATCAACATTTATCTTAATGTTTTTTAAAAATGCATTAGAATTATTGTTTGAAAACAAATACAAAGAAAATATACATCTAAAGAATATTTTTGTGTCCTGCAGTGACAGGTTTTGTACCTCAGAATCCTTTACAAATTTAATGTTTTGTTTAATTCCCTTCTTACTACAGCATCCAAGGAAAGGCCTAGAAAAGAACATCTGCTTTATGTACCACTAATCTAATGCATGCCACTTTGCACTTTCAAGGAAGGACCCATTTATTTAATTACACTCTTAATTTTGCAGACTATTAATATATATAAAAATCACCAAATGATCTCAAAACGTTTGCATTAGAAGTTAGAAATAACTTATGAAGACAAGGAATAGTCTGCAGACTATGCAGCATATATACACCATGTAATGCCTTTGTTGTCAGTTATGCTGCAAATGAGATTTTCAAATAGGATTTGCAGATGCAGGGCAGTGATCAACACAGTGCAACATCCAGGAAAGAGAAGTTGCACACAGTAGTCTGTGAAAAAAGGGGCAGAATGGAGCCTGTTTTTAAATACATATTATTATTCTAAGAAAACACTTATCACTGCTTGATTTTGCTACATCAGTTACTTGGAAATAGGTGATACCAATAATTTTATTTTGTGTGTGTGTGTACGCGAGCATATGCCTCTATTATACTTACATGTAGATATCTGTATAAAAACAAAACAAACAATACACATGGGTTCAGTTTACAGATATTTGCATGCTAAAACAAGCAGCGTTAATGTTATGCTCTGTAATATACGGAGGGGTAAAGAAGAGGAAAAAATACTAAAGGTCTGAGAATGCAAAGGGGATAACGATCCCAAATAAACAAAGATAACAACTTCCAAGAATGATGAGATGCAATACAAATCTTTTACACAACACTGATGGAAATCACTGATAACAATGCCACCATGTACATACACCCCTTGGAGAAATGGTCAGACCATTTTAGAATTCAATCTTCCTTCCTTTGTGGGCTGAGCTTGAGATTTTCAGTAATATGTACTAGAAAGTTGGTACTTTAAATTAATACATGAACATTTTAGAAGGTAACTTCAAACACATACTGTGTACTCCTATGGCTCTTTAAAGCCAGAAATCCACAAGGAGTAGAGTGCAAAAATATCCCCCTCCCCTTTGTCATGTAACAACTGTGTTTGTATTTCTTCTTAGTAATAACAATAGTAGTTGGATTAACTATTGTCTTGAGTAAGACGCTCTTAGCTATTCTCCAGTTTCATACTGTATCATATTTATTCTGATATACATCTTATAGGGAAGCTTTGTCTGAATTGAATGAATCTTGATTTTTTATAAATGCTACTTCTTGTCATAGGACCTCCCTCCTTTGTGGAAAAAGAAGAAGCGAGTATTCCCAAAATTCAATGCACCTGGCATTCACTTTATACCTAATAAGCATCCGTGAATATGCAAATGTTCTGTGTCTCCAGTAACCTCATTAATTTATTCCTCAGGCAATCAAAGAATGTGAACCAGTCCTCTGCCACTAATACTGGAAGTGGTACGCCATTCAGCACTGCTAGAATCAGCTGAAAGCACATTCTGCATATTGAAAAACTGTTTCATCTTTCTTCCTTCCTTTGCTACTCTAATTCAAACAAAGACTTCCTACCTCAATCTACATAGCTGACAGCAAAAGTTGAAAAATGCCAAGGAATAATTAAGGCCCAATATATATATATAAAAAGAAGGTAAATAGTTTAAACAAAATCTCAACAGAATTCCAGTTTGAAAACTGCCTGAGTTTTGTTATTTATTTATTTGTGGGGGGCTTTGACCTGCCTCCTACTCTGCAGAGCAGCTGAATAATCTTTTGCTTTGCCCATGTTAAAAGCCCTGAATAATGTTTATAAAATGTTAGGGAATCCCGGTAGGTTTCCTATTTAACAAGCCATGTATGACAAATCACAGTGTAATGTACTGCGTTCTTAATCTTTAATTAGAATGTGAATATCTGCTAGAGAACGCAGTTAACTTTGACACATTAAATCTTCTGGTTAAAGTGCCTTACAGGAAGTGCAAAGATGAAACACTGTAACAATCTACTGCCTCTCTCTCCATTCACCCAGACAGTTGGGGAAGGATGATAACATCTTGTAATACCTGCTCTGTAGTAATTAATCGCTGTGGTATTTAGGACCATTCAAGTAGACAAATATGACAGAGACAGGGACAATTAGGAACCTTGTTCAAGCTACATTAACTTTTCCAGCTATTACAACACAGCAGCTCAAGTTTGCTTGTAAAAGCTGCAGAGGGATTGTTATGCATTAGCTGTGCGATTATTAATGAAAGAAAAGGAGAATTGTGTTTATTGTAGTTTGAAAATTGCAAATAAATTTCAATTATCTGCTATGTCATTTTGTTAAACATGCATTCTGGAAATGCCTTTGTACTCTAAATCATGAGCTACTTATAGCAAACAAATACTAGAAAGCCTTTGGGAGATATAAAGTCAATATTTTTGTTCAACTGGGCTTCTCTCTCGTTGAAACCAGAGATGGACTGAGCGACCTGAAAATATTTCAGAGAGTTAGCGAACCCTGCAGACACTTGGGCATTAATACTGCCTCCATCAACCAACAGGCATTTGAATCAAACTCTTGCAGGTGCTGGAACATCTCTGATTGAAGCTGCACTGTGCTCCACTAAAATGACAAGGCTGAACTTCCCCCAGTGATTGTATTCATAATGTGCATACAAATAAATAAATAATAATTGGAAACAAATCTGCCTTTTTTCCATTAGTTCTACAGACAGCAACAGAATGGACTACATGAAACAAGATTTGGGAATGGTATGGATTATGTCTTTTAAAGGTTACATGCTGCGCTTTACTTTGCCATTGACAAACTGCTGCAAAGACTCTTCAGATTGTAAAGTTTATATTTTAAAATTATATTTTAGACAGCCTAGGTTACCATTGCTGTTCCACATTTCATGAAAGCACTATTGTTCTGAAAATTAAATGAGCATGGCAAGAAAAGAGCAGAACTGGATGAATACTAAAAAGAATTTTCCATGAATATTTCCCTGATTTCTTTTTTAAAAAAGGAATTAATTTATGCCCATGGCACTTCTGTGTTCACTTTCCAGGGATATTTGAACTATTGTGTTTTAGCAGCATGAGCATTCACAGAAAGCTAATTTGAGAGTCCTATGTGTGTATCTGTGAAAACTTAATTCTAAATTTGCAAGTGCAAATATTTGCACTGGATATGCTGTCACACTCATCCAATCAGGGACCAGAAACAATATCACGTGACTTGCCTCACCAGTCATAACTAAGGAACCCAACTTGAATTTCAAATATTGAGTATCAAATTGGCACATTGATCTTGGCCAAATCAAAAAGCAAAAGAAAGAAAAAGTTTTAAATATGTATCATATAGGTTTCTGAACAATAAATACTTGTAGTGACTTGAAATCTGCACTTGGGTATTCCGTGAGCAGAAACAAAAGGTATATAGAGATTAATCTGATACAAATTATTCACTCAGCTCCAGTAACAACCCCTCCTCCCCCCACACTCTTCTTCAAAAGAAAAAGGTAGATATACACACTGGGAAAGATGACAACCTCTCCTGATCTGCCCAGTTGTGTAGCCACTATCTCTCAGAAATATCCTTTCAAATGTCTTCAGCAATATACATTTCAAAGCACTTTCTGGATGGGAAGGAAACCACCTTAGCATGCATTTCCAGGTGAGGTCTACCACACATTTCAAACATTTATCAAATTATTCCTTGAAGTTTGTTTAGCTGCAAACCAAACACCAGCCATTTGTTGTGTGTGTGGTTTTCCTTGAGACTGACAGACCTATATCAATTGTACTCTGTAAATAAAAAGAAAAGCCATCTTAGCACTGCACAAATCTGTATCCCCACCCCAGAATCTGTTGTCACAAAATGAGCGGGGGGGGGGGGAGGGGAGGAGGAAAGGGGGAAGCTGCTCAGTGCACAGGAACAATTCCCCCTCTCAGCTGAGCTGCGATGATGTCAGCTTTCTGATTACAAACTGCTTATTTATGCTTCAACAGCTGCCAAGAGCAGCAAATAAGTGGCTAAAAGAGTGTCTAGACCAGGCATTCAGGCCTCTATTGTTTGCTGGTTGTTACCTGGTTGACAGCGATGGGTACAGCTGCCTAGTGTGAAAGAGAGCAGAGATGGGGAGGCAGTGATTGACAGAAGGGCCCTCGGGGTCAGGCACAGCCAGCCCTGATGGCCCCATGTCTTTATATTCACTGCTCTAAAGGGAAAGTGATGGCCCTGCCTTGAGGTTGGAGGTGAAAGGAAATGTTTGAGGGTAATGAAAAAAAATCCTTTGGCCAAATTTGTGATGATGAACATTTGCTCTGGGGAATTCAAGCCAAGTGTTCTGCAGTCTTCTGTATCTGCAGAAGTAGGTATATGTAGCAACTACTGGCATAAAAATATCATATTTCATACAGTACATACTACGTATGTAAGTATAAATGTATTTGTGCAAGCTAGACACACATGGGGGAACATATCCTATTTATTTTTATTTTAGCTAAAATCTAGAGAATATAATGTCTAAAAATCCACTGCATATCTCATTGGAAGAGTATTTCTAATACTTGTAATACTTGTGAACTTTACTCACAATATTCATATATATATATATAGGAGAAAATTGTTTTCTGCCTAGATGAGCATAAATGACTCATCAAAATCTCCCCTCCATTGAAGTTGACTTTCTTTTCTTTAGTTTCCGGCTAGATAGTCTCCT